CAAAAGTGAAAGGTTTCTTTGTAGGGTTAAGATATACAGGACTCTTCACTGAATAATTTTAAGGAAAGAGTGAAGCAGCCAAGTAAGTAAAGTATTCCCACCTCAGTCGCATACTACAATTGAAGCACACAGAAAAAGAGAGAATCTATCATCTTTATTTAAAGCCAGTTTGATGCATTACAATAGGATATGATAGGCATTAACATTTAAATCCTATACAACTTATTAACAAATAACTTTACTTTTCTGTGAGAAGCCTTTCCTATTCTATAAGAATTCTTTCCTATGGTTCTTTGAATTAGAAGGAAAGAGTGCACATGTTCAGAGAAGCACATGAGGGACAGCATCCATACAGTGGACAACTGAAGTGCAGCTTAATATTAATGTTATATCTCAAGTATCCAAGCCGACATCAAACGCCTGCTAGATGCACACAGCCCCATAATAGGTTTACCACAGCAAGATGCACAAACAACTCCAATTCCTACAGTGAGGACCCATACATGCCCTCACCAGGTAACAATCTACATTTTAGGTAAGTAATTTAGGATTGGTCTCAAGCTATACTTTGGTTGGCCAGCAGGTGAACCAGAACTGTCCAAGACAGGGGCAGGCAATTATTTTGGGTGGAGGGCCGCTTACTGAGTTTTGGCAAGCTATCGAGGGCTGCATGATAGGCAGCCAGAGGCAGATAAATATTAAATTTTCTAAATTTTTTTTAGGGGCCCTGTGAGCTGGATAGAATGGCCTGGTGGGCCGCATCTGGCCCATGGGCCATGTTTTGCCCACCCCTGGTCCAAGAGAATTCAAACAGAATTCTGTACTGCTTAAATATCTATGTACCCAGTCTAGGCAATGAAAAAGTTAGTCTTAGTAAAGCTCTGTCCCTACTAATTAGCAGTAAGTGGGCAAGTCAAAGAGACATATGATCCCATTGGGTTGCACCTCTATGGGGGAGTCAGTGTATTAGGGGAAGCTTGAATTCTCAGTGTGGATGATCCAAAGTAGAATACACATGCCCTCAAACATCCATTCAAGTTAAGAAAAGGCTTTGAGTATAGACAGAATCTCAAGGCAGTACTTTCAAGCTTAAAAGGTAATTCAAATATTCTGAGATTAAAAGTAAAGATGGGGAGAGGAATGGTTTTTAGGATGGATATGAAGAAAGTTAATGCGACAAGGCTTCATGCCTTTCCTGCCCTTTTCCGCCCCCCATGAAAGGTTCAGGTTTTGTCTACCATGGATGTAACAGGGTGAAGAATAGAACCCTGTTACTTGGTGACTGGGCAAGGGTCAGAGGGCAGAGTGACTCAGTTGCCTAAGGGAAGGAGTCAGAGTAGGGGTGGGCAAAATCCAGCCCATGAGGCCATTCTATCCAGCCTGTGAGGCCCCTAAATATTAGTTTAAGATTTAAAAAAAAAAAAAAAAAAAAAAAAAA